AAGCCGGGCGAGAGTCGTGCGGGGGGGTGGGGGGGGGGGGGGGGGGGGGGGGGGGGTCCCACCCCAAACATCCTCATTTGTTCTTCCAAATGTCCCTCCAACCCTGTTATACTCCCCGCTGTTCCCTATTGGTTGACAGTCTGTCTCTTCCCTTTGTTCCTCCCCTGTATTTAAGCTGCTGACACCTGCTACCCTGAGGTTTGGAGTCCTGGTGGGGACAGAATAAAACCTTGGATTTCTGCCCTCAAGAGCCTGACTCCTTCCTCTGCCAGTGTCGCTGCAGTCTCTTCCATCCAGGGAGAAATCCCTGGCTGCTCCCCCAATTCTGGGGATCCAGAGGAGTGTCCTCCTGCATGCCAGTGGTGGCTGGCTAGCCTGGGTGGGGGGAGTGACCACTCTGAAAGGGACAACAAGAAACAACAGGAACAACAGTCCTTTTTACACTTTTTACACTAACATAAAACCCAAGGTTCACAGTTTCTTTTACAGGTGGGACAAAAGACGTCGGTTATGAACGATAGTCTCTTCCTTCTCCCCCTCCATCTCCTGGGGGCTTGGTAACATCCTGGCTTCTCTCAGCTGCTCTTAGAGATTCCTGGAAAAGTTTCACGTTTTGGGCAGGGAGCCAGGTAGTCTTTTCTCTGTAGAGACACAAGGAAAGCCTCTCCCCCACAAAACTAGGGGACTGACAGTACATAAAAGGGTTAATTACAGTAATTCGGCTCTCGGGTTCTGTAATTTGCACCAAACGTTGGCTCTGCAGGCTTTGGCTATTCCCACCTACGCCCGAGAGCATAGGTGGGCCTTGGCTTTTTGAGATAACAGTCACATCAGCTCCAGTATCAACGAGTCTTGTCAGAGTCACTTTGCATTGGCATGTGACAAGATGTAATACTATAATAAATTGAATTGATTCATGCTAACTAAATTGTAACTGTTATTAAAGTTATTATTAGAAGCAATTAAAAGAATCAGTGTTACAAGGCAGATGTACCTCTTTACAGATGTTACATGTTAAAATTGAAGTACAGGATGTAGTTTAGAAGATAAGAGATGTTCCAAGATGAAAACGAACTTGAGATGGACAAAATTAGAACAACTTTAGGCATTGGGCCTAAAAGTCAGTAAATACAAGACTAATTAATAGACTTACATAACACAACGCTTAGTACACACGTGCACACCTGTAAGGTTATCCAAAGGACAACGGGGAAGAGGAGAAGCCTTCACCAAAAGACCACCAAAAGAAGACTGAAGACTCCCTAATAACAAGTGAAGCATGTGCCGTGAAGAATAGTGACATAAAGTCAGAAAATTCGGAAATAGGAGGAAACTTACGGGAAACATTAATGAATATGTATAAGCATACAGTATATATATTTAGCTTGAAGTGCTTTGTTTTGTATGTGAGGCAGGGTGGGATTTCCCGGTCAGTTTTGTACATGAGGTGGGGTAACGAGCCCTCCCCGTACCCTGGTCGGTTTTGCTTATGCTTTAATCATGCTTAATTACTGGCAAATTATATACATAAATTGTAATTTTTAACAAAATTGTATTATTTTACTATACTGTATTTTTTTATACCAAATTACTATTCAATTAACTGAATTGTATTAATTTTTAATTAAACTGTTATTAATTCAAGGGACCTTGTTGTCAAAATTCTAATTTCATTTATAACAATACATTGTGTCCAAAGAATCTGTGGGACCCCTGTGGCACCAAACTCACCTCCCCTCTGTTCAGCTGTTGGGGGTGCAGATAGGGGTGCTGCTGGGAAAAGTATGAGTTGGGCTATATTGCTCCTGGCTGGGACCACACAGGGCAGCTGGGGGGTCCAAGCCATCATCTTTATCTCTCCAACTGAGTCAGAGTCAAGAACTCCTTGCAACACAAATAATACTGTTATCGAGGCCAATGATCTACCTACAAGCAAAGCATGGTAACCAGATTTCAAGGGTCTATAAATTCCTGTAGGGAGACAAAATACTGAGCAATCAGTTAATGTTACTGTGTTGCTGGTTGATATGCCCAGTCCGGTGCTCCCTGAGGTGGCTGGACACAGGTCAGACATGGTCTGGTGTAGGGGGGCTGGGCTGGTTGGAAGCTGGCAGCTGCTCCTGGTTGCTCATCTGCTGCTGCTGCTGCTTTGGCTGTGGCATTTGTGTCTGCACGTGTCATTGTCCTGTGCTCTGAGATGTTTCCCAGTAAAGGCTGGCCATTCTGGTGGAACTTGAAGCTGCATAGATTTCTGAGTGTGAACTGCCTTAATTTCTGAGTGGCCTAAGTGCTCCCACTGTGCTTCCCCCCCCTCCTCGGGTTAAATTGCATGGGGGCCACAAAGATTTCTGCCACAGTCCTTGAAGGCTTTCATTTTTATCCATAGGCAATTGTTACGCATATACAAAGGGAGTAAGTCTGGGTTTCTTTTGGGGCCGGGGTCAAAAGGGTCCAGTTCCCCTTCACTGCCAGAGTCGATGTCCACCACATAAGCGTCCCATCCGGCAGCTCTGGGGTCGCTGGCAGTATAGCAGTGAGGCTGGAGGGGGTGACCAGGCTTTATCCCTGGTGCTTGTCAGGGAGGGTGTGTGGATGGGGGATGTAGAGTGGGACCTGGACAGGTTTTGGTCTGGCATGGCTGCTGGGGCTGTGTTGGAGCTAGTCTCGTGAGCAGCCTCACCACCGCCTCTCCCTTTTAATCATGTCCACGACCACCCTCTGAGCAGGGAGCATTCACAGCTCTGGCTCATGTCCAGGGAGGGTGCCCAGGTCGTAAAGCTTAATGCCAACCTTGTCCCAGAAGCAGAGAATAAAAGCAGAAAAGGGAATGGCATCGGGAAACATGCATGACACCCAAGGTAAAAGTGACTCATAGTCTTGCTTTAGGATGGGGGACTGCCGCGGCGACAGAAAGCCCGGAGCACCACGACTTCTCTAGAGACAACCTTGAGAAAGGCTGGGTCGAAGCGCGTGAGCAGCTTCGAGCAGGTGAGTGATTCCAGCTCAGCTCAGCAATAGTCAAGTGATTTCAGCTCAGCTCGGCGGCGGCAGGCAGGCAACACAGGAAGCAGGGACGAGAAAGCTGGTCCAGCGTTCCACCAAGGCACAAGCCTTTATTCAGGCAGAGCTTCGGCAAAGGGTGCCGGCAACAGCGAATCTCCCCAACAGGAGAAAACCCGGGATATTTATGGGGAAGGAGAGGGGCGGGGGGAAGCCTGAGATACATGTATCAGGGTGGGATGGCAGGGGGGAACACCAATGAAACAGTTTAACATATCTAACTCAAAGACTCCTGGGAGTGATACATTGTCTCTCTGAGTAAAAGGTGTCTTGCCTCCAGGAGAGAGCCAGGATCTCCGGCTCGGTGGGCTCCTCCATACCCACAACTCCCCCTTCTTTACTTATTAAAAAGGCATCTCCTAGAGAGTTAGCTAATAGATTCTTAAAACATGAAAACATACTTGGGAAGATAATAACAATTAGGAAAACCCAAAAAACGTTTTTGAGGAGGGAGGCAACTCATCCTTTGAGCCCTTAGCTCCCAAAAAGGTCCTCAAGCCCCTGGGGCTCCTTTTCAGTCTGGAGTTCCTGGACCGCGTGTTGGGGTCTCTGGATGTGGGCGTGGATGCCTTCACTGGGGCTGGAGAGGTTAAAGCAGCACAGTCTATTAAATTCCTCGCAGCCGTGTCCATAGGCCAGGAGCAAAAGGTCTAGAGGGTTGGTGGCGCTGCCCATGGACAAGCACATGTGGTCTTGTTGGACCGTCTTTGCGAGGGTGATCCACACGTTCTCCTGGGGCTGTGCTACTAGCCAGGCATCCACAGCTGATGTTTTCAGGAGCATACAGATAATCAGGAACATCAGGAACTCAAGGATGGTTTTGCTCTCCATTTTCTACAACAGGACATAAAAGATTAGCTCTGAGTTTTGGAGGGGGGGGGGCTAATTTCTTTTCTCCCTTTCTCTCCAGTCTGCCCCCTCTTTAAAAAAAACAAAAACAAAAAAACCCAAACAATTGTAAGCAAGGTTATTCTGTGTGTTGGGGACACATGACCTGACACCAGCAGCAGCACAGAGGTGCACTTTGGTGTAAGCTGGCAATTTGGGCTAGGCAACGAGGGCGAGAAGGGGAAGGGAGTTAAGAAGACTTGTGTACTGTCACGGTGTCAGGCGTGACGTTGGCAGTTGTCTCGTTGCAGCCCTGGTAGCAGGACGGTTTGGCCTCTGGTTGTTGGTCTGGTGGCAGGTCGGTTCGGTGGACTCCGATGACGTCTCCGCTTCCAGGCTGCAGTGGGCTGCTGTTTTTCTGGACCTGTGTGGGTCTCAGGAGACTTTGAAAGTTCTGAATCTGGCGCAGGGTTTGTAGGGCCTAAATAAGGTTTTACATTTTTCCCTGGGAGTCACTTAGGTCCTGATGGTGTGGACACACACGCATACCCTCTCCCCCAGGTAATCAATGGGAAAGGTCCTGATGTCTGTTGTGATTCAGGATCCTTGATCAGCACTGGCAGCTTCTCTGTGAGTTTGGCATGAGTTGAATTAGAGAAGTGCCGTATTACAGGGGGGTCAGGCTCTGTAGATGAGCAATTTAGAAAGTTCATGACATATAGAGCCTTACAGAGCCTCTCAATGGGAGGAATGACCTCTGTTCCTCCCCGCTGGTGATCAAGGACACTTTTCAGGTTTTGGTGGGTTCTCTCTACTATTGATTGCCCTGTGGGGGAATGAGGAATGCCCGTGGTGTGTTTCACTCCCCACTCATTGAAAAAGTCTCTTAATTTGTGAGAGGTGTAAGCAGGTCCATTGTCTGTTTTAATTTGTTCTGGGACTCCCAGGGTAGCAAAAGCAAGGAGAAAATGTCGGATGGTGTGCTTGGCATTTTCTCCTGCGTGGGCTGAGGCAAACACTGCACCAGAGAAGGTGTCTAGGGAGACATGTACGTATTTGACTCTCCCAAAGGACGGGACGTGAGTGACATCGGTTTGCCATATCTGGCAGCTGTTAAGTCCTCGGGGGTTAACCCCGGAGTTAACAACTGGTATTTGGAAAGATTGACAATTAGGACAGGTGGCAACTATTGCTCTAGCCTGGTCTCTGGGTAGTCTGAACATTCTCATCAGTGCAGGCACGTTCTGGTGGAAGAACTGGTGGGACAATTTCGCTTGTGTGAAAATGTCAGGGACATTGGCTGCTCCAGCAGGCATGGCTAAGTCGTCTGCCCTCCTGTTTCCTTCGGCAATGGCACCTGGGAGGTCAGTGTGTGCCCTCACATGCATGACATAGTAAGGTTGCTTTCTGTGGGAGATAAGATATACTAATTCAGAAAGCAATTTGTATAAATTTGGGTTAGAGACTTCTTTTAGAAATGCATGTTCTGCTCTCATAGCTATTCCAGCCACATAAGCCGAATCAGTCACCAGATTGAAAGGTTCTTGGAATTTCTCAAAAGCTCTGACAACGGCTGCTAACTCAGCAATCTGTGGTGATCCCTCGACCACTTGGACATCAGACTCCCATTTCTGTGTCCTGGGGTCCTTCCAAGTCATGACTGACTTGTGGGATTTCCCTGAGCCATCTGTGAAAACCGTCAGGGCCTGGAGGGGTGTTTTGCTCTGTAATGATTTGGGGACCAAATTAAATGTGGTTTTGAAAAGTCTGTGGCCAGGTGGGTATATAGAAATTTGGCCTGAATAGCTATCGAGAGCAAACTGAAGGCTCTCATTGGTTTGGAGCAAAGGCTCCAAACTTCCAGTTGCCAATGGGAGGAAGATGCAGGTGAACTCACAGGCTGCAAGAGTGCGGAGACGGACTCTAGCTCTTTTAATGAGTTCAGCCATGATTTCCTGTGGGGTGGTAATAGTCTTAGTGGGCTGGTTATGTGTAAAGATCCACTCGATGATAAGGAGAGGATCCTTCAATGCAGTGTCCCATTGAAAAATGAGCGCATTTAAGTGCGGGGCCTTACCCAGGATAACCAGCTGGAAGGGCAGGCTGGGCCCATACCGGTGGGCTTGCCACGAAGACAGGGGCTCCTGGACCTCGGTGATGGATTCCCGGGCCTCCGGTGTGAGGGAGCGTGGTGAGTCGAGGGCCTCGCTGCCACGAAGCAGGTTGAAGAGGGGTGCAAGGACTTCTGTTGTTACCCCAAGCAGAGGGCGTATCCAGTTGATGGACCCACAGAGCTGATGTAGGTCCCATAGGGTCTTGGGGTCGTCTTTGATGGTCAGCTGCTGGGGCACGATGGTCCGCTCACGGATCTGGAGTCCCAGGTAGGTCCAAGGGCAGGTGTGCTGGATCTTGTCCTCACGGATCTCCAATCCAGCGTCCTCAATTGTCTGGATAGTTTTTTGTAAAGTCCGGTGCAGATAGTCATCGTCAGCAGCACAAACCAGGATGTCATCCATGTAGTGGAGGATGATGGCATCTGGGAACAGGGCCCTCACAGGTGACAGGATGTGGGCCACGTACCATTGGCAGATGGTAGGAGAATTTTTCATCCCCTGAGGAAGGACTAGCCAATGGTATCTTTTTAAAGGTGCTTGTCTGTTTGGAGAGGGAACCGAGAATGCAAATCTGGGAGCGTTCCGAGGATGGAGTGGTACGTTGAAAAAACAGTCCTTGATGTCAATGACAGCCAGCTTCCAGTCCCGAGGGAGCATAGAAGGGGAGGGCATGCCAGGCTGGAGGGGTCCCATGTCTTCAATGACATCGTTGATCTTCCGGAGGTCATGAAGGAGTCTCCACCTGTCCTTGCCTGGTTTGCGTAGGACAAAGACAGGCGAGTTCCAAGGGCTGTTGGACTCAGTGATGTGGCCCTTGGCAAGCTGCTCTTCCACAAGGGCTTCCAGTGCGCGCAGTTTGGTCTCAGATAGGGGCCACTCATCAACCCACACTGGATGGTGCTGTTTCCAGGTGAGTTGGGGGATGGTAGGTGTCGCGCGCTTCTCAGTGACCCCGACTAAAAATCCCTGCTGGGAATCCGCAGAGAAGCCCCCCATTGGGACAGGAGATCCCGTCCCCAGAGGGTGATTGGTGCTCTCACCACAAATGGCCTGATGGTTGCCATTTGTCCCTCAGGTCCTTCGATGACAATATTCCGTTTGCTCCTCATGGAAGCTGTCATGCCTCCAATTCCTGAAATCATGCCTGCTACAGGTTGTAATTCCCAATTGTCTGGCCACTCGGAGCAGGCGATGATGGTAACATCTGCTCCAGTGTCTAGCATTCCTGGGCGCTGAATCCTTTCTCCATAACAAAACAGGCTGCAGTCCACAATAGGTTTGCAGGAGCCCACAACCTGAGTCCACATAGCGCTGGGGTTGAGGGGAACATGATCTGGGCAGTCACTAGGAAGTAAAAAGGCCTGTGCCACAGGAGTCTGTTCCTTTAAATAATAAGGAGGGTCTATGCAGGTCAGAGAGATGGAAATTTCATCTCCAGGGTATATAGTCTGGACCTCAGGAATGGTATGAATTTGTTCTGGACAGTTGGTAGGATCCCCAAGTATTAAGATGTTAGAGGGACCGCCTGGTGGTCCATGTTTCCCTGTGGGGACTTTGTAAATACAGTCACCCTTCATATGTAAAGAGAGTCTAGTTACCAGTTGACACTGGGTTCCCATCTGAAGCACTCCACCTGCTGGGCTTAATATCAGGGTCCCTGTGGAGGCAGGATGGTGGATTTGGCAGGAGGGGTGGAGCGGTGCAGCATTTGATTTGATGTCGAAGTGCGGGGCTGTCCCGCGCCCTGCTTGAAGTTTCCCGAATGCCAGTTCTGTCTGGGTAACCGTTGGTGGGCTGGCGGATGTATAAAATGTCTCTCTGGACAGTTTTTGAAAAAATGTCCAGGCTCGCCACAATTAAAACAACGATTTGTGTTGGGGTCTGCAGCATAAGCTCCAGATATCCCCTCTGCCATTCCTTTAGCCACTGTAAGTGCCACTGTATTCTCACTTGAGGCAGAGGAGTGTTTGGTGCAGGCTTCAACCATCTGATCTATGGTTGCTTCGGGGTCCAGTGGGAGGGCTCGCAAAACTGTTTTGCACTCCGGATTAGCATTGGCCATTGCTATTTTTACTAATAATTCCTTTTGCGCCTGAGGGCTCTCTATCTGCTTTTCAATGGCTACTTTTAACTTATCAATATACTTAATAAAAGACTCAGTTGCCCCTTGCTTAATATTGGTGAAGCACTGTGTTGGCACTTTATCATCAGGGGTGGTAAAAAGAGATATCTTAGCAGCATTAGCTATATCCTGTAAAGCTGCTTCAGGCAGATCCCGGGCCTGATCTCGGGGCTTTTGGAAATCTCCTTCTCCTGCTAATTGTTCTAAAGTAAAATTAGGTCTGTTAGCATCTCTAGCATAAACATCTGCCAATTGCTTTAAATGTTTCTTCCACTGCCTCTCCCACAACATGTATTCTGCTGGGGAGAGAAGGCAGTTCATAATATTTTTGATGTCATGGGGGACCATGACGTGGGCAGAGAAGGAGGCTTCTAGCAAGTGTTTAAAAAAATGTGAACCCCTGCCATGTTCTTCGGCAGCTTTGCAAAGTTCCTGCAGCTCCCTATAATGAAGGGACTCCCATGCAGCAACCTGTGCCCCTGTCCTGTCTCTCTTCATTATTACAGGAAAGGCAAGTATTTTCCGGGACAGGGCTGAGTTCGCCGCCCGTGTGGCTTCCCTCTGCACCTCAGCCCAGTGGTTTTCAACTCAGAATCTGAATAAGAAGATTCACTGCTCTCATCTCCTAGTGGAGATGGGGGGCACTTGGTAGCAGCACAGGGCCAGCTCGGGTGTCTAGAGCTGGCCGTTTTGTGGCCAGGTGGGGAAGCTGGGATGGCCCCGCTCCAGCCAGAGCCGCCCCGACCTCCGGGGTTTTGGGACCCTGGAGTGGGCGCGCCGCTGGGGACGGGGCCCCGGCACAACGGGACAGGAGCGGGGTCCGGGACGGGGAGGG